GTTTGCTCGATTTGTAAACAAAGCTTCTCAGCGGTGAAAAATATACTATTGTGAACAACCTAAACGAGCGAAATTCACAATAGCGCTATTCTTCATCGAATGAGCGCCATAATACCAAATGAAAATTCGTTCGCTCAGCACTTTCGACCACAGTCGAAAATCGAATGCAACTCATAATAGGGGCCAGAATTAAATGAGGTTTTTTTTGTAGTAGATTTTAACCCGGATCTCAGCACGGCACGGCGTAAAAGTCAGTCTAAAAACGAGATCTTCGGTATCCGTTGATTCGGTCCCGCAGGAGCCTAAACGGCTTTTAACTATAGATGTCGCCAGGAGCCGCAAACCGCCGGTGGGCAGCGAAAAACTGGGTCTGGGTAGCAAGCGGAGCCTGCACGGCCATTAGATTTGTCTGCTCGAAAGCGACTCCGGGTGGAGGCGATACTGGCACGCGGAATTCCTGCACGGACAACATCATCAACAACAAAAAGGCAGTCGGAGCGAAGCGGGATAGAAGGACCGCTTCCAGCAAATCTAGGATGCCAAAATTAAAAAAATGTGCTTGACAATCGATTATATTTGGTAGTTTGTTAGGCCTCTATCNCTAAACGGCTTTTAACTATAGATGTCGCCAGGAGCCGCAAACCGCCGGTGGGCAGCGAAAAACTGGGTCTGGGAGCCTGCACGGCCATTAGATTTGTCTGCTCGAAAGCGACTCCGGGTGGAGGCGATACTGGCACGCGGAATTCCTGCACGGACAACATCATCAACAACAAAAAGGCAGTCGGAGCGAAGCGGGATAGAAGGGCCGCTTCCAGCAAATCTAGGATGTCAAAATTAAAAAAATGTGCTTGACAATCGATTATATTTTGTAGTTTGTTAGGCCTCTATTATGAGTTGCATTCGATCTTCGACTGTGGACGAAAGTGCTGATCGAACGAATTTTCATTTGGCACTATGGCCAATGATGAAGAATAGCGCTATTGTGAATTTCGCTCGTTTACGTTGTTTAATAGTATATTTTTCACCGCTGAGAAGCTTTGTTAAATTTTTCACAATATATGCAACAATTTTTATTCTAATATTTTTCCGCTAATTTTGTATAAAAATATGGTTAATTCAACAAAAAAACATAAAAATATAATTCCTAAACTTTGAATTTTCAACTTTTTAATCAGATTTTTTAGAATTTTTTTGAGTATACTGTTTTGCAGCCCATTAAATTATAGTAAAAAATGCAAGTTCGGAGTTAGTCAAAAATCGTGCTGATTTTTGAGAATTTTTTTTGTTGAGGTTGTTTTGCATTTTTTCCATATAAAGTATTTTCGAAAAAAAGTTTTTGTATGGAAGAGAC